TTTCAGGCTATCAACCTTACAAACTTCATGAGTATTGAATAATTTACTCTAATCTGCTCTACTTAAGTAGTACTCAGATTTCAGCTACTTTAAGTTACAACTCAAATATGACTTAAGTTGCACTCTCCAAAAAAATTTTTTAAATCAGTAGGCACCATTTCTAAGTAATTATTGGAACGCTCCCTCTTCCTATGCTTACTATTCTTGGAATCTTCTGTCTAGAGAAGGGAGATAAAATTCCTAAGTGCTGAAACCACAAAGAAGCTATAGAAATATATGAGTGTGGGGAAGTGCTTACTAAATTAAGAATTTCAGAATGGGCCTTAAATTCCTGAGACTATGCCATTGAGCACAGATATAAACACTTTATACTTGTCTTTATTTTAAAATGAGCCAATCTTTTTTCTTTAGGAAATAAAACATGAAACCTGAACTTGAAAGGAAAATAAGCAGTTATACAGATCTTTGACATCTGCTTACAAGTTGTAATTTTTATAATTCCTTTTTGTGAAAATTACACCTTATATTCATTATTGTGTATAACGTATGTATACACATATATATATATACACACACATTTCCATTTCTTTCAGACTAGTCACAAATTAGACTTGAACTGAATGTTTATACAGCCTACTGGTTGTGTCATGGAATTACAAAACTGAAAGCTTTCCCTTTTCTAACACCACAAGCAGTTCAGAATTACCAGATTAGTAAAATTATTGTGGAGAATGAAAAGTGTTGCTTCTTTAAAGCCAAATCTACCTTTATCTATTCTTCTATGTGTTAATGAAGTTGAAATACTTGATACTACATAACCTTCTGCAGTATCTTTTGTCCTTTTCCCCCATGAGAAATCAGTTTCCTTGCATCAAAATAAGTCAAAAGTCCCTCTCTCTGTACATGCCACAAACAAGAAATATTAGTAGTATTATCAAAGAGTTCTTGCACATGAATACAGGTATATTTCTTAAATTGACTTCAAAAATTGTCCTCCTAGAGACAGCACCTGCTATTTACAAAGATGTGAGCCAAAGGTCAAAATAAACTATTTCAGGACAGGTGTCCGGGCACTTTGTGTTACCCTGTATTTGTATCCTTTATCTTCAACACCCTATGAAGTGAGCAGGTGATGGTATCCTTGTTTAACTTACAGATGTATCCCCATTTAACATACAGATAAATTATGGCACAGAAAATTTATGCTTATCTTTCCAGGATCAGTCTGAAATTGAACCCAGTTTCTTAATAGCTGGTCTTGAAGCTTAAAATCAAGAGTAATAACCTAAAATATGTAATGATGTTAACTTAATGAATTACAGATTAGATTTAAACTTATTTCTTTACACTATAGATGTTTTGTTCCCTTATTTTTAGAATAGTAATATTCCTTCCCCCCTTTTTTCCTTTTGTAGAAAGCGAAAGGAGGATTAGTGGATAATTATTTTGCTGTGATTGCAGCACCTGTGTGTTATTTTTTTATTTTTATTTTTTGATTGGCTAGTTCTGTATTAAAGAGCTAAAAGTCTCCCTCATCACATGGTTTTTATTAGCTAATTTTGGCTTGAGTTGTTTTAAATTTACAACCAAAATCTGCTTACTTCAACTTAGATTTGTACTTTAAATTTTTGTTCTGAATTTCTTTGTTTACCTTCACCTTTTTATCATCCTACCCATTTCAGTTTTTTAATTTCAATGCCAGTGGCAATGTGCACTCACCATATAAAACTATAGCTTAAGTTGTCCTGTTGTTGCCAGCTGTGGAGTTTGTGTGCCACTCAATGTATATGTACTAACGACTCTTCCCTAGAGAGAGGCCTTTTATGGAATAAGTGTCTAACCTATTATAATGAGATATAGGAATTAACTACTTTGGATGATTACAATTGCAGATTCTAACAGCACTGTTTGGAACTTTAATCATCTCAATCACAAAAAGCACCTCTTTGTGGACCCAGGACTGTGGTTTAAGTGCTTAGAGTTTATTATATTTCCTTAATACATGTTTTCGGAAGTAAAAAAAAAAAAGGGGGGGAGTAGGGGAAGATGTATGTCCTGTAGATTGGGTTGGCTTGTTTTCATGTTGTTATTTATTAATTTTGCTACATCAAACTGGGAAACTTATAAAGATCATTTAGCTTTTAGAAGGTGATTTACCTTAGATATAATTATTTTACCAAGCTAACAGTGTTTCCTGTAGATGACCCCCCAAAAAGGTAACTTACCTAGTAAGTGATGAGCACTGTAGTTTTTTCATTTAAATTCAACCATTAATGATTGCTTCCCTTCACTGTGCCACCTAGACTTGAACTTTTAAAAATAATTTTAGAAAGCATTGTTTTCATTAATGAGATTTATTTGATTTATTGTAAATTTCTTAAATATATTTTTTATACACAATGAATATGTTATATCTGGATAATTTTAGTTTTGTACAGCTGTGTATTAGAGTTTTTTCCATTTTATAAGCTTCTTTTTGTATAAGGAAGTAGAATTAGTCTGCAAAATGTATTTTAGCTAGATAATCATTTTCTTGCTTTGATGAATTTACTGTATTAGAAATATCCTCCCTTCTTTAGAAATATTAACATTTGCTTTCTTTCTGCCTAATTTTTATATAAACTCTAAATATAATAAGGTAAAATATTTCATTTATAGGCCCTCTGAAAGTAGAACATTTTTAAAAGCAGGTAGGTGTCTCCACCCTACTTTTCATGAAGCGTTTTACCCATTCAAGCAGACTTTTAAAAACAGCTTGTTTTGATAGCAGACTGTTCTCCTGTGGGCCTTCAGCCTTTGCTTCCTGGCAGCACCTTTGGTGCGAAAAGAGAGTGATCAATTGGAAGACTATCAGTGCCAGCATGCATAGAGTGATAAGTTAACACACCACTGGGAATTTCTAGGGCCCACCAAGATACTTCACTTCTAATGTGCTAACAAGCTCATTTTTCTACCTCTTGCCTCTTCAGTTATTTTTTTTCTCAGAAGAGCTTAGAAGTTGAGTGCATCAGGCATAATGAAAAGCTCTGTAGGAGGGAGAAGCAATAACCCCATTTTTCCCTTTTCAGCCAAATAGAAAATTAGTTTCTGGTAATACACAAAGGCCAGTATTTTTTGTACAAGGGGCACTGCTGTGAATCAAAGGACTCTATTAACTGCAGAAAATTCGGCAGCTGTGAATCTCCCCCAATGAAAAAAGTACTTTCCAACAAGTTGTGAGATATGTGGTATTATTTAGATTGTTCCATCAGTTTCATCCTCTTCCATTTATAACCATATACCCCCTTTAAAAGTGTGCTATATTACTTGTTTATGTTAAGACTCAAAAATGTCTGTATTATCCTCATGTAAAATCCTTGATGCTGATCATTTTAGTATGCATCTTGTCCTGTTGCTTCCCACCTCAGAAGTAAAATTCTTTTGAAGTTCATCTCCAGTATACAGAATGGAAAGTAATAGATTGCTAGGAATTGGGATTCAAGGTTATTTTCATATTTGATACATAAGATAAATTGTAATAGAAGCAGATAAATTATAATATAAAAGCCACTTAGCAAAAGATACCACAATCAAAGTCCAAGTGCATAATGAATATAGTCTTGCCTTTAACTCTCATACTTTTTTTTTTCTCTTCTTAGTAAACTTGTAAATATAATTAACTGGCCGTGGTATCTCCCATTGAATTATTAAAATTATCTTCCTTTCAAATTATTTTTTGGGTCTTGTAGGCTTAGTCTACAATTTCTAGAATTGTAGAATTGTATAGAACTATATAATAATTAAATAGCAATTTTTAAAAATAAGGAATTTTGAGGGGAAATATTAAAGTGGACTTTGGGGAAAAAATTCAGTGGAAAGAAAGAAGAACTGGTAGACAAATCTTTATTATCCTTATTTAAATGTCTTATGTAAAGCCTGTCAACATAGCACACTGAGTACCACAGGGAAACTTTTAAAAGTTTTAAAAGAAAGGTTAACTGATTTCTCAGTTCAGGAACTATACGACATGAAGTCAGCATGTGAGTTTTTCCTGATAATTGTATGTTGCTGCCTGCTGCTCTACATTTTGACAGCCATTTCCATAGTTGCTTTCGTGAACAACAGAAATATTCTCTCTCTTTCTCGCCCTCTCTGTGCTAACAGCACAATCAGGCCTGCTGAAACAGGAAGCCTGGAGTGGGTTGTTCAAAAGCAACAACACTTCAAGGTACTGGTTGCTTGTCAATAATATCAGAGAAGAAAATGTGGTGAAAGGGAACTACAGTATTTTTCTGTCAGTGTCAGTGCCCTGGAGATGCTTTGTTAGACAGTATTTAGGAGTCCTGTGGACTCTTTGCAAATATTCCTGCTTGTTTCAGTGTTATAATTGACTAGGTATTTTTTCCCAGCATACAGATTCAGCTATGTATTTATCTTAACCACATGGAGTTATTCGAGGATTACAGCAACAGTAGTCTTCCATTCAAAATGAGAACAATTGTTGAGAAAATGCAGGGATTTTAGAAAAAGAAGAAGATATGTAGGAATTTTTCACAATAAATCTTTACAAATGAAAAACAGAATTTTGGACATAGTATCTTAAGCAACATTACGATGTTTATTGCGTGGCTTTTGAGAGTAAATCTGCAGATGTGATTAACAAGATAAGATGAGCCCAGTCTGATAGAAATTTCAGCCTAGACTCCTGATAGAAATTGAATCCTTTCTCAAGTAAACTGTTAATCTCCTTCATTTCAGCAGTTTAGTATTATTGTAAATATTATCTAATAAATGTCTCCTTGTTAAGCTGTCATTTATAGTGGGATCATGAAGAATAAACTTACATTAAAAACTATATTTTTGCACTTTAAAAATCCATAGTTAATGATACATAAGAATAATTAGTGAATAATTCTATTTATTAAGAAGTAATGGCTTAGCAATCATAGCAGTCCTTTTTGATAAGATTTTTTTTCCAGTATAAGCTGCACTTAAGTTTATCCTTAACCAAAGGAAATCAGCTATGAGGAGAGAGCACGGTACCTGCAAACAATTGTCCAGCACCACTTAGAACCAACAACATTTGAAGATTTTGCAGCACAGGTTTTTTCTCCAGCTCCCTACCACCATTTACCATCTGATGCCGGTAAGATTAAAAGCAAGTATTAGTTACTTGTTATTGAAACTTGAAATGCAGTACCCTTTTGTTCTAAAAACTTGCTTGAAAAAAATTGTAATCATTGAAATATGAATTTTGTATCACTATTTAATATTTGAATTTGGCCTATAAATTTGATTTATGGTTTCTTTTACCTAAATGCAGTTCCTTAAAAGGTCAACAATCTTCATAAAAGTACATGTACCACATTTTATATGAGCTAATATTCAATGACTCTTGCATCTTCTGGAATCACTTCTGAAGTATCTGCAAAAGAAATACAAGTTAAGCATGCACTCTGAACTTTAGAGGATCAAATTTTATGGCCAAAAATATCACCCTATCATCTCTGATTTTACAGATAAAGCTAAAATAACTGGTCTAGATTTAGAAGTATTTGATATTGTAATTCATGTTATAATAATTAAAGATTGTAAGAGGGTACTGCATTTTATGATAATTTTGAAGAAATCAGTAAGAAAATAAATGACTCGTGGCCTTCCTATTCTGTAATATCTTGCACTCCTTATGATTGTTTCATTTATTTTCCCTCTTTAGATCATTAAATATCAGTTCTGTTTATCTGAAGGTAAGACAAAGTGTCAACCAAAACACCCTCTGTTCTTCTCCCATTTCCTTTTTTCAAAATTAGCAAGCTCTAAGCTTGTAACTTAAACAATAAATAAACTTAACACTGTCCAGTTCATACTAAACATTTCAGAAATTGTCACTAAATTTTTTCCAGTATTACACTGACTAACCCAGGTCTGCATGAAACACTAACATGGTTTGGGGATAAAAATAACTAATAATAGAATCCCTTGGTTGAAATTAGTTACACCTTGTTATATTGACCTTTTTTTTTCTGTTTCTCAGCATGAAAAAGTAGTACTATTGAACTGAAGTAGTGTGTCTTTGTATTTTGTGATGTGTTGCATTGTTATGGTATATCCTAACTCATCAAATGATAACTCTCTGTGTGCCTTGCACTTCACTAGGCACCTAAAATACAAAGATGACTGTTGTAATGGTATTCAAGGAAAGCAGGAAAAGAGAACATAATATGCTTGAAGTTTATCATAATAAACCTTCAAATTCTCTTTATATTAAATAAGTTTTCTTTATATTAAATAAATTCAAAAGGCACAACACTTCTTTTCTAGCCTAATTTATTTGGAAAAAAGTTACTGTAATTCTCAATTGAGATTTAGTTAGTGAAATTAAAGCTTCCATTCCTGTCATCATTAAATTGCCATTAGAAAAATAATTTTACAAAAAAATTTAGATCCCTTTCAGATAGTATAAAAGACCTGTAGCAAAGAGAAAACCGTATTAGACCAGGTTGAATCCTTTGAAAGAGATAAAATGTCTAAGATTCACTTTAATGGATTGACACTATTCAAAATTACTCAGTTTGGCATTAAAAAAGATGGTAAAAGAGAAATATTAAAAATTAATGAACAGCAAAATAAGTATATCTGGCAGTTTTATTGTTTAATAATGGAGAATGTCTGATAAAATGTCAGACTATATTAAAAGAGATATAAATAACACTTGTGTATCATATAGTCAAGCTATAAATTTCACAAGTGAAAAATATTGATAATAGAACCACACTTGGGCTAACTTTCCCCCTTAAATTGATAAAGACTGTTCAGTTCTCATGTGTCGTCGTTTACCAGCTGTACTCTTTCGTATTTGTCATCTTAATGTTCTCCCCATATTTTGCATGTTATCCTGCACATTTGGCCAGGTATTATGGAAGTGAGTAGTGTTCTCACTTCTGAGACATTAAAGGATGCTACAGCAGCCAAGTCAAGGTTCTGTTGGCTTCATTTTTAATGTGTCTTACAAAATTATTATGTAAGTTGTTTAAAATAACACTTATGATTGTCTAAATAGTAGTAAAAATGTGAATTTGAACATGAACCTAATATTATGGTATACATTTTTTTCAGTTACTTTTTAAGAGTTGTCACTGCATTTAAGAACCATTCTCTAATTTTAATATGCACTCTAATTTTCAAAAGGGTGTTTTTGCTTGTAAATAACTTGTGCCAGTATTACTGAATACATTTCTATATAAGTTTTTGCAGACTTTAATAGTTATGACAGAAATTTTTATCAGAGTGGTTCTCAGTTCAACACAAAATAAAAATGAAATATTTACTCTTACAGTAGCAAAAACATAGAATCTGAAAAATAATTTTTTTCCAGTTATCTCAAATCTAAATTTTTCTGTCATAAATCCCATACATAGAGAGCTCCCTTTAAAGTTATATGTCAAAGTGGACAGAGAAGACATAAAATGAGCTGCATAATAGCAGTTTGGACCTGACTGCTGGTTTGCAAAAATGACATAATAGTGTAAAGTTTTTAATCTTTTTTCTAGCATGAGTATAAAATGTGTTCACCACATTGAGGAAATGGATTCATAATTGCAATTGAAAATCAACTTTAGATATCCTGTGCACACCCTGTGTATAAAAAATAGTAGTAATCAATACTAATGTAGTCATTTGAAATTAAGTTTTAAAGAAATGCCAGAATGGTGATTATATTCTGTCTAACCAACCCTATAACATAATTATATTCAGTGGAGTAGTATAGAAAAATAATATTTTTCTAAGATTTCTTAATTTGGTTCAAGATTATCTAAAACCCACTTTCTGGTTAGCGGTAACGTGCATATCAACTGTGGTGACATTTAAATCCGAGAAAACATTTTTCCGTGTTACTTTCAGTATTATTAAAATAGATATGAAAGATTTTGGTGCATCATAGTTGATCCATAAATTTCATAACTGTATTTTCTCAGAATGTACTGTCTGTGGCAGTAGACTGATACTTAAGGGAAATTATTTTTATCCCTAAGGTCATTGAGGGAAATATCGTGATGTCACACTTTGTTGATCTTTCATAACTACGTTAAAATATTATTAGATTTTTCTTGTCTTTTATTTTTAAAAAATTACAGGAAAAAATCCCTTTATCTTTGTCAGGCATGTGTGTGGAAAATATCAAAAGTTTTTAGTGACTTCTTAAAGTTTTTTCATATTTACAAACACCTCTCCTTTAATTATAAACTTTAAAATGAAATTACTGCTCTTCTTGGCCAGATTACACTGTTTGTTCAATATGTACTTGTGTCTCCCAATATACATTGTCTTTTCAACGTCATCTTTTTTTATTTTGTAATAAGAGAAATTCTAGAATGCCAACAAGAAACAGGATCCTGTTTTGCTGAAAGTGTATAGTAAATATTAATTGGTTTAACTTTCTCAATTTCAACATAAAAATATACTCATAATTTTTTGGAGTATTATGTCTTTACGTTACAGATTTTAGCTGTTTAACAACTAAAGGGTTGATAGGTGTTTCTCTCTGTCTTCATATATACATAGATATACATTCACAAACATATATCTATACATACATAACACTTTTTATAATTACTTTTGGAGAATATAGGCATTCCTATTTAAAGGAATATTATAACATTAATAAAATTGAAATATAATTTTTATGACACCAAATTCAGAGATAATCCACAGTGACTATGAAAACCCAGAGTAGTATGTAGTCTGCCTTCTAACCTCAGTTGTGCTGTTAATTTGCAAAATCTATCTTCCCATATGTAGATAGGATGGGATTTATGATAGTCAGATCTATTTCTTTGAATCTTTGAGTGGGATGGATCATCAAAATTTAGCCATTGCTTTAGATAACCTCTTTTAGCTCAATGTCCTTCTTTAAAAGTTATTTAAACTACTCAGGCTTTGAAATGTTCTGAAATAAAATATTTTAGCTCCTTAGAAGATAGTTATTTTATAAGTATCTTAAATATTAGTAAGTGCCAACAGAAGAATTAGTTTCCTGCAATATATAACATAAGCTATAAATTTGTTTATTTAATAATTTTGTTTTTGTTTTTGTTTTTTTGAGACAGAGGCTGGAGTGCAGTGGCACAGTCTTGGCTCACTGCAACCTCTGCTTCCCGGGTTCAAGCAATTCTCCTGCCTCAGCCTCCCAAGTAGCTAGGATTACAGGCACACGCCACCACTCCTGGCTGATTTTTTTATTTTTGGTAAAGACGAGATTTCACCATGTTGGCCAGGCTGGTCTCAAACTCCTGACCTCAGGTGATCCACCCACCTCAGCCTCCTAAATTGCTGGGATTACAGGTGTGAGCCACCATGCTTGGCTAGTTAATGTTTTTAAAAACAGATTCCTGCTCATATTAATTTATCATTAGATTAGCCTGAAATTATAGGCAGCCAGATATGTTCTGTTTGATACTTTGAACTTGGAAATTTGGCTTATATGTTGTTGACCAAGAGGCAAGTAATAATCTTAAATAGGACCCACTAACCTTTTGTGATGACTGCTGATTCAGTTTCCACATAGAACATTCATTCAGATGTGAAATTTTTGTAATGAAAATAATAAAATAATAATTGTGCTATTACTGAGTGCCAGACACTGTGCTCGGTACTGTACGTACATTCTCTCATTTAATCTTCATTGCAGTTCTATGAAATTTAAAAGAAAAAAATGCTTACCCAGAGTCACCTGGTACTTTGTCAAGCTAGTATTTCAACTTAGACTGATGTGACTTCAGAGGGCATGATCTCAACTATTACAGTTACCCATTTAGTCTAAATATTTTCATCCCCTTCCTGCTGTTGATTGAGAGAAAGAGAGATATTGCCCAATAACCTGTCATATTTACAAATTATAAATTGTTAAAGATTTTTATTTTAAGGGTTTTATTTTCCCACCCATTGAAAAATCTTTTTTTTTTCCATGTATCTTCAAGGTTGCCAGGGGGGAAGTATGAGCTTTGGAATCAAACTAATCTGGATTTAATTCCTAGTTCTGCCAGTTGTTATCCATATAAATGCAAATTAATCAACTCTTCCAATTTTTTCATTTCCAAAATTTTCATTTACAAATTTTGTCATTTGTAAAATATGACAAGCTTGGCATGATTTATTCTAAATCTAAAATACTAGTAGTTCTTGAATGTTATCTTAAAATGAAACCACATGTTTCCCTTTATTTCTCTACTATTTTAAATTGTTATTTCCCGGCCAGGCATGGTGGCTCACGCCTGTAATCCCAACATTTTGGGAGGCTGAGGCAGGCAGATCACTTGAGGCCAAGAGATCAAGACCAGCCTGGCCAGCATGGCAAAACCCTTCTCTACTAAAAACATAAAAATTAACTGGGCATGGTGGCACACGCCTGTAATCCCAGCTACTCAGGAGGCTAAGGCAGGAGAATCACTTGAACCCAGGAGGCAGAGACTACAGTGAGCTGAAATCATGCCACTGCACTCCAGCCCGGGTAACAGAGTGAAACTCCCTCTCAAAATAAATAAATAAAAATAAAAAAGAAATTGTGTTATTTCCTTTACGATATTCAGTGCCATCCATGCTAGTCTTAATAACTTATCAACTCCTTTAAAAATATTAAAAGCAAGGTTATTTGGGTAGCCTTTAACCTTTAATATAAGGTTGTATTTTATAGAACTATCAACATAAGAGAGAATAAATTTCCCTCAAACTAAATTTAATGGTGTGTTGTGCGTTTCACATTTGAACAATAATATTTTGTATAGGTGGTCATTTTCTTCAAAAATATTCCTCATTTCTATCCCTTCCTTTCTAAACCTCATCTGTTCTGATTCAAAATGTATCAGCTTTTATTTTTCTGTTTAATAGCCTTATTATGTAGCTATACTTACTGTGCACCTACTATGTGCCAGTATCTTTGCATATGTAATCTTAATCCCTGTGACGACTTGACAAAATAGCAAGTATTATCTCCATTTTATGAATACAAAAATGTCTCAAGTCAGTTTGCCCAAGATCAAACAGATGGTAAAGTGACAGAGTCAGCATTTAATCTAGGACTGTCTAACCTATGCCCATGTTCTATCTAATACATCACATTGTCGCTGGAGTTCAGTATTAATTGAAATTGCTTTTAAAGATACAATATTTTATAGGGCTATATTTGCCCAATAATTAGCAGCTTTAAAGCAGTCATACCTGTCATCAAACAGTACAAACGAAACCACAATTAAAAACAATCTTTCAAGCTCCCTCTTATAATCCCTATAGATCCCAAAAGTCATATTTATTATGTTAATTGTAATAATAGTTTATTGTAATCGATGTGCAATATATTAATCAATTTATCTCATCAGATTACACAATCTGTGTGAGCACTGTAAGAATGTTAGTAACAGATACAGTATGCACAAACATAGGAGCTCATATGTACTCTTAAAACCTTATCCTTGAGGATATATTAATAATAGAAATAAATCAGAATTCTTTATGACTCAGGTAGTATAAATCAACAGGTAGATTAGGATGTGAAATGAAATGTAGGTTGTTACTACATTTTTTACATCTAAAATTGAAGTCTTTCCACTGTAAATTATTTATGGAGTTTGGGAATGTTGAATATATACCACAAATATAATTTGCTAAATTGTTAGGAAGTACTGATAACTATACACCACACACACTAAAAATCCTAATTTGATTCAATTGAGTGAAGGAAGATTTCACTTTGAAGGCAGTGAGGAAGACATGGAAGAATTGTTTTTGAAGAAAACATTCTTTGAGTTTGTCATAATGTAGAGCAGTGCTCTCTCTGATAAAACCTTCTATGGTGATGGAAATGTTCTATATCTGCACTGTCTAATGTGGAAGCTGCTAACTACATGTGGCTGTTGAACACTTGAAATGTGGCTAGTGTACTGAGGAACTGAATTTTTATTTAATTCATTTTAATTCAATAAATTTAAACTTAATGTGGCTGTGGCTACCACATTGGACAATGCAGCTCTAGAGATTTTATGTCTGAGTGATTAGGATAACATGCCACCAGTACAGTGAACACTTTAAAAGGTAGATATTTACAGAATCTCTCATAGACCTTTTTTCTTCTTTTCTTTTTTTCCTATTTGAACTTGTTTTGTTAGTTGGTAAGTATAACATTTGAATTTACAAAGCATTGTCATTGTGAACCATCATCCTAACTCATTGCATGCCCAATTATATTTCATAATAAACACCTTTATTCCTCTCTCTCTGCTCCTCAGTTAACACCTATAAAATTCTGCACTTGTGTCTCTCATATCTGTTATCTATCTTCTCTTTTGCTCTCTCACTTCTGCTTGCTACTCCATTTCTTCATTCACAACAAAGAAAGAAATGCAGTGATAGTTCTCTTCCTCCCAAAACCTCCGCTAGAAAACATTGGCCATCTCAAGGTAAACAGCAGTGGGAGGGCCTCTCATGATGGCCGGGAATGATATGCATTACCAGAAAAGCATGAGCTACTACTGCTCTTCACTTTCCTTCTGCCATCCATCTGCCGTGCTTCCCTAAAGGGGGCCATGGATTCATATTCTCCCATAAATTTTCCAGTATGGGTCCGCTATGAACCAATTCAGATCTTCAGGAAGAGTAAAGGTGAACAGAAATATGTTTCCTTCTCCTTGTATTTTGAAGGCCAGTCTTATTTCAATTAGAAAATAATGCTGGAAAAGTTACTTTGAGAAGAAGGGCAATTGACCTAGATTATGAGTGACAGGATATTTTTCCTTGGAAACATATATTTTTTCTTAAGTATAACTCTAACATTTGGTCTTAAGAACATTTTGAAGGCCGAGTGTGGTGGCTCATACTTGTAATCCCAGCACTTTGGGAGGCCCAGGCAGGCAGATCACGAGGTCAGGAGACTGAGACCATCCTGGCCAACATGGTGAAACCCCATCTCTACTAAAATACAAAAAAATTAGCCGGGCGTGGTGGTCCACACCTATAGTCCCAGCTACTCAGGAGGCTGAGGCAGGGGAATCACTTGACCCCGGGAGGCGGAGATTGCAGTGAGCCGAGATTGCACCACCGCACTGCAGTCTGGCGACAGAGTGAGACTCCCGTCTTAAAAAAAAAAAAAAAATTGAAGTGTTCTACAAAGACATATTCTCAATTGCTTAAGACATCTCAATAGGATCTTCACCCCTTATTGAACTTTTTGTTTTTCTTTATAAACATCAGTAACTTCAGTTTAAGCACAAACATTTCATATATATGAACGTGCTAGCCTATTTCCTAGTTTGAAGTATCAATGAGGTGCTACATTTGCTAACAAATATGCCAAAAGTCTCCCTGTAAAGTAAGGACATGTATGTATACAGTTAAACTTGCAACCTGTGTGGTGTTTTTGTTTGTAAAACACATAAAGAAAATTTTCATGTACTTAAGACCCATAAAATCTGGATTAAAATGCCTTAAAATATCCAGAATTTCTTGTTCTTACTCTGTTTTCAGATTTTTTTTCTGAAGGACTTTTAGTTTTAATGTGATTTTAATCAATTACTCATTTTGTTTAGGAAATATTTGAGAGCCTACAATGTGCAAGGTTCTGTAGTATTGCTGCATATTAGAGAATAATAATTTATAGAAATAAAGTACAGAGATGAAAAACTACTTTATAAATGACACAAAGAACTTTCCTATTTGATTTTGTTTTACTTCTAAAATTGTGTATCTACTAATTCTACTGGTTACCTGCTTGCTTATGATTGAATAAGATACCTGCAAAAGTTTTTAAGTTAATGAAAACAAAAGCATTGTTTATCTCTTTTACATTAAGACATCTTGGGGTAGTCAGTTTGCCCTTTTTTAACTGACATTCAGATGAGAATTCTTGTCCTCCCCTCATACACAAATTTATCTTGCTCCTTCTTAAAGCCGTATTTAAATACCTAGCATGTATATGATCTTATATTGCTGAGTTCCTTTTTTTGTTTTGTTTTGTTTATAAGGGCATCTAGTGAAACTGACTTCCGTTTTGAAACCCGTGGTTCCAAAAGTGTTTGGAACTGTTTGGTGCTGTTTTTCAAGTTTGAGTAGTGAAGGCCCTTTTCTTGGTTGTACCCTGAATCCTAGAGATAGGAATTGGTCCTTCTCACCTGCTTCTTGACCCCTTCCCTGCATGCTAATGGTGCTTTGGATCCTTGTTCTTTCTGGCTCAAAGATTTTGCTTCCCACTGCTTTTTCCAGGGTTCTAGCCCTGGGAATGATGATTGGCGCTTTCTTGCTAACATGAGCCAGCAGATTGCTGGGTTTTAAATACATTAGTAGGCTATTGTAACAAGCAAGTTTGGGGCTTGCTTTTTCCCTCAAAAGACCTTATTAAGGGATAGGATCCTTGCTGCAGATTAGTAGCAGAAAGATTACTTCTCAGGGGATGAGAGGCTGGATAACTGTAGTAATGCTCTTGCTGTTTCCTACAGGCTCCTACCCAGAGATTCTACCCAGTGAAACTCCCACAGCAACGCAGGTAGATGGGGCTGACCTGGCCTCTCCAATGTCTCCTCGAACTAGCAAAAGCCGCATGTCCATGAAGTTGCGTCGTTCCTCTGGCTCAGCCAATAAATCCTAAGGAGACAGCCCAACAGTGATCAGCAGTAGCCACCTTAGCACGAACATAGGGTTAACCCTTTCAGTCCTTTGTGTCTGCCATAACATGCATGTTTCTTCCTGTACATTTATTTGAGAAAACACTGGATTTAAATAATTTTAAATAATTTGTAGCTTAATATTAAAGATTTGGGTTATTTATTGTTTCATTTTTTTCCCACAGTCCAAGCTGCCATATTTTGAGGGCAGGGGGGAGTTTTATTCTACACCCTTTACCTTCCTAGATAATTATGTCTAAGTAGTTTTATCTTTAATTTCATGGTTAACTTTGAGCCAAAATACAATTGGACAACTAGTGTCATTATTTATTGTGCCCCATTGCAACTTTATGGTTCAATAAATATATAATTTTTTACAAATGTAAAATTTTAAATTTAAGCATTTGTAAAGTTACAGCAAAAGATGTACCTGTTAATACACAGAATGTGTACAGATTATTTATGTTATGACAATAAAACACTCAAAGTAAATGGTCTTTAGCATCTCAAATTCCAACTGAAATCATTTTAGTGTTAACTTTTCTTCCCAAAGCAATGTCTCATTTCTTGGCTGTGCAGGTGATGCCATGTTATATCCAATAACTAGAAAAATCACTGTGCTGAACTTTATGTTTAGCTTCCAAGTATTTTTCTAATGTTTTGCATTTCAAGTGGGTATCACTGTTAAATGCCATTTGTTTTCAGATTGTGGCCTTTTATTATTGGCTGCTAGATCCTGGTGTATCTATGTTCTTTTTTAAGCACCAAAAAGAAGATAGGGAAGAAAAGAAGGAAAATTTTCTGATGTAAGTATGTTGTTCAAATTATGAGTATTATTTTTAAAAAAGGAAAAAGGAACGTGACCCAGGAGTCTAAGTTAAATCTAATATTGTTAATACTGAACTTGCAGGTGCAGGTTGGTATACATTCCACCCTCTAGAAGTATTTTCTTACAGTAGATAAGCTGCTCACATTTTATTTTGAATGGGCATCTCCTGAGGAAATGTAGCATGACATTGGTACTAACTGCATGTGTAAATACATCATACTGGCAAACCATAAAATATAAATTATGTATCATCATTCATGTAGTAGCTATAATTTGTAACAGTGGGGGAAAAAGGTGACATGGTATTTAATAATACAATAAAAATATTCCTATCACTTCCTATCCATGAGTGTTGATGTGTCTTCTATGTTTCATATATTTTCAATAAGTAGGGCTATATGAGTAGTGAGGAGATTTAAAGCATGAACCTAGATTATCTTAGCTAATCATGAAAAATGAACTTGAATTCCCTTTTCAAGATACATTCCAACTTATTTCTCAGTGATCCTACCACAGTCATTAAAAACACAGGAAATTTTACATCTTCATAAAGGCTGGCCAGAAACTTCACCCAATGCGGTTGGTTAGATTGTTAGTTTATCTCAGCTTCGTGTTTTTGTTTTTTGAGACGGAGTCATGCTCTGTCACCCAGGCTGGAGTGCAGTGGAGTGATCTCGGTTCACTGCAACCTCCACCTCCCAAGTTCAAGCAGTTCTTCTACCTCAGCCTCCCGAATAGCTGGAACTATAGGTGTGTGCCACAATGCCTAGCTAATTTTTTGTTTTTTGTTTTTTGTTTTTTTAGTAGAAATGGGGTTTCACTGTGTTAGCCAGGATGGTCTCGATCTCCTGACCTCGTGATCCGACCGCCTCGGCCTCCCAAAGTGCTGGGATCACAGCTTCATGTTTTTTTGATTCTTAAATTTTACTTTGTTTTATAATATACTTTCAGCAATAAAACTTTGTACTGACAAGTTTTCTAAGACAACCTTTCAGAACTTCTGTGCACTCAATTTTTTGTTTTCTTACAAATGAAAACTAAAAGTCCTATGTAAGCTGATGTAGAAGATAAACAAATGGATAGAGTCCTTGGGAAGAAGACTGAACAATATAAACAATTTCCTGCAGCCAAGGTGAAGAATTACAAAAAGGAAAATCAGAGTAACTGCATATATGTTTCTAAAGTGCTATAAAAAAATTAATGGATTGATGATACATAACAATATGGAGTAAAAATACAAACCTGAAATAGTGAAATTAATTAGCACCATTAAAATACTTTTTTTCATCTTCAGGTAACACTGTTCACTAGTTTGAAATATATATACATACTTAAAATATATTTTCTGTCAACATTTCTTGGGGGGATGTCTTTTTTAGATTTAAAGACTAGTGCATATTCCTTGCCTTTTGGAGCTCAGTCTTTGCAGCCATACTTCAAAGGAAGATTTTTCATTGCATTCCTGCACCATTACATTCATTTGCAAAATATTTCCGTCTTTGTATTCTGTCCAAATGGGTCACTAACATTCTAAAACAGGATAGCGACATTGGGTAGATAAGAAATGTGGCTTTGAAAATAGGCTGTGTTCAACAGGATTCTTAAGACAAACACAGAACACAACAAAAGCACAGACTATGTACATTTATTTGGTGGTAAGCGTCTTACAAATATGGGCTTTCTGTCAAGCAGTGCTCAGCCAGTGTCCCAACTCTGGCTATTAAGGAATTAGTACAGAATGTACACTGAAATGGTTTTTTAAAAAAAATCAAAAGTTGCTGCTGAAAAGAAAATACTGAATATTGAGCAAATTGCCATTCAGTTCCCTAGTGGATTATAGGTGTTAACATCTTCCTTAAGCTGTACATATTTTCATAATGAATACACAGTATGAGATTTACAGCAGAAGCATTAAACAATTTGGGTGAAACCCCATTAAAACAGTCAAACTTGAGGAAACGACTTCTGTATTTCCAAAAAGCCATTTAAAGAAAGGTTTGAAGTAGCTCTTCCTGAATACTGCACACAAAATAGCTGAGAATTTTAGGGGGTGTCTCAACTCCAGTAAAGTAGCATCCTCCCCACCTCCAAACACCAACTTAAGAATGGACATGTACATATAATTGGCCAAAGGAAAGTTTACGGGGGAGATCCCCACGCACCCCAAAAGCAGCAAACATCCTCTTTCATTTTCTGCCAGGTCTTGAATCTCCTTAAGTTTGGCACCAGTCACATAACTTTTAATTCACAGATACAGTGCAAAATATCTGATCCTATTGAGACAGAAGCTGCATAGGCGCCTGTGATGACAAGAGGAAAAAAACATTGGTGACTCCCAAAGGGTAGCCAGAACCCTTTGTGGACACTGAGACATGCACACATTCACCGCGACTTTCCATAGGAATTACAAATCATATAGGATTCGTTAGGGTCTCCAGAGTTTTAAGGGGGAAAAATCCTATTTTAGTGGGGAAAGTGAGAAGGATTTAAAGTTAACAGTCTTTGATCTCAAGGTTTGTACCATATACATACCTGCTCTAGAAAGGGATATTACATTTCACTGTCTGCTCCTCTGGTAGAACATTGACTACAGGGAGAATTTTAGGAGGGAGAAACATAGGAAGGAATGAAAGTAAACTTGCAAGTTGAAGAAAGCCCCACAGAAATTCCCATGATCTGTTTCCTCTAAGGCCAACCTCGAAATCATCCTTTCTTTCGTCCCTCAGCAGCCAGGCCGCAGTGGCATCTGCAGCAGCAGCACTTGCCGGCTTTCTGAGGGGTGGCACTTATTGATGTGCCGGGTCAGCCCCGGAGAACTAAAAAACGTGGACGGACAGTGCTTGCACGAGAAAATTTGCTGGGCACTCCCGTCAGATGGCCCGCTAGGGCCCGGCGTTTCGGAAGGAGCCCCCGCCAGAGCGGGCAGGAGCAGCTCCTCGCGGACAGCATGCCACAGCCGGTGCTTCTCCCTGATATCTGCGTTAGGGAAGTGCGCTCCGCACAACGGGCAAGCGAAGGCAAGTGGGGCACCGCGTTCGGAGCCAAAGCCCGGCGCTAGCGCACGGACCGAGCCCGCCTCGTGAGTGCTCAGGTGCTTGCGCAGATAGGCTTGGCGACGAAACTTTTTGTGGCAATATGGGCACACGAAAATTTCGGATCCCCCGCCACCACTGGTACTGCCCGGCACAGGCACCCGGCGCCCGAACACCCCCTCCGTGTAGGGGCCCTGTGGCAGCGGTGGCTCTGGATGCGTCAGCACCTGGAGGCCCTGCCTCGGGGCGCTGTCCGGGTGCTGATCCGCCCCGGAGCTGTCCCTGGCCTGCGGGTGCTGATCCGCAGTCCGCTCTATCCGGCTGTTCTCCTTTCCCTCCTCCAGAAAAGATGCAATGGCCCCGGATTCCCGGGAGGCCGAAGACGACGAAGAAGGCGGCTTCCCGTCGGCGGAGGAGACTGTGGCGGCGTTTGCAGCCGCGGGACGCGGCTTATGCCAGCGGCGATGGGAGGCCAGGTTCGCAGGACAGCTGAACACCTTGTCGCACTCAGGGCAACGGTACTCTACGCGCACGATGCGGGAGCAGCGGTGCTGGGCCAGCGCGAAGGGGTCTGCGTACTGCTCCTTGCACAGCTGGCAGATGAACTCGCCCAGCGGCGTGCGGCTGCCCCCCAAGCCCCGAGACGGCGCTCCGGGCTCCTCCTCCTTGATCTTCAGGCCCAGGACAGGGGATGTGGTCACCTCATCGGCAAAGCTCAACTTCCTCATGGCCTTTGGCTTCTTGATTCCCGCGGCTGCGGGTCCAGACGCGCAGCCCGTGGGTGCCTTGCCACGGCGCTCGCCGCCGGCCGCCCGTTTCAGACTCTGCAGGGCGGTCGATAGGGGCACAGGGTCCGGCTGAAGCGCGGGCTCTGGGAACGGCGCCCGGAGCGGCAGCAGGAACTGCTCCCCCGAGGTCGGTGCGGCTGCTGGCGCCACGGAGCAGGAGAAAGCGGCCACGGCGGCGGCGCCCCCGGGGAAGGACTCGGCGGAGACGGGCGAGCTGAGGCAGCGCTCCAGGAACGCCCGACGCAGCTCTGCGCCGGCCGGCTTCGCTGGACTGGGGCTGGGGCCGGGGCTGCGGCTGGGCCCGGGACCTTCCCTGCCACCCGCCCGCCACTCCGCGCCTTCCCGCCCGCCCGCCCCCGGGCTCACCCCAGCCGCCCGACATGGCGACCCCGACAGTTCCCGGGCCGCCTCCTCCGTCAGCCCCTTTCCGGGTTCCTCCCGGGTGGGGCGGGCCGCCCGCTCCGTACCGGGCAAGGAGGCCCTGGGAGCCTCCTCCAAGAAGGGCGGCGCCCCCTGGGGCCCCAGCAGAGGGAAGACATGCTCCGCAAGGCGAACTCGGTACGAGCAGCCTGTCCGTTTAGTTCGCTTCACCAGGAAGCCCCTTGGCATGGTGGAGTCGAGAGCGCTCGGGGACAAGAGGAAAGGGGGCGCCACGGGGACTGAGAGCCGGACAGCAGATGAACTAGAAGAGCTTCGCCGCGGCTGTCATGCCGGGGCTCTCTTTATAGCTGAGACGCGGGCCGGGGTCCCGCCGGGCCGCCCCGGGCTGGTCCGGCCAATCAGGAGTGGGAGCGGGCGCCGGGGGCGGGGCTTTCTCCCGTCCCGACTCACGGAGCAGACGAATCTGGCGGCTGCGCCGGACGCCCAGCCCCGCCTCACAGCGCCGTGGACCTGCCCCTGCGGCCGGCTGGGTCCGCCTCCCGCTGCAGCCTCCCGGGCGAAGACGCCAGACGGTAAGGTCCAGCGTGTGAGGGAGCTCGACACTCCCCTACTCGACCGCCTCCGCGGAGCGTCCCACTGGGGAGCCAGGCGAAAAGGCCACCTCACGACGCCCTCCGCTTGGGCCGGGACCCGGCTGCCCAATACCCGAGGGCGTCTAGCTGAAAAGCTCCGGCCCTGCGCCGGACGGCCGAGCGGAAGGGGCGGTGGGCAGAGGGTGTGGCGCAGACCACTGGGTGGGTGTCCGCGAGGGAACTAGTGCACGTCCTTTGCGGGTATTGAGCTAATGAGAAGTGCGACCGAGCGGCCGAGCAGCTGACTCCACCGCCCTGTGGCTGCTCTTGGCGGCGGGAGCATGTCCGCCCGTCTGTATCGATCGGGCCCGCGCGCGGCGGCGACACTCGAGAGTTCATCTCCGCAGAAGGGCTCTCAGCGCGGGAGAGCGTGCCTGCCCGCCGCCAGCCTCCGAGTCGGGACGCCCGAGCGCGGCTGGGTCCTGGGCCTCCGCTCTCTTAAGTGCTTCTCCTTGATGGGAGCAGGAGTAGGGAGAGGAAAGGAGGATCTCATTTTCCACTGTCCTCAC